AGCGCTGTGATTCTATAGGACAGGTCAGTTCTTGTATGATCAGTCTGCAGAAACATATTCAGTGGGCCCCTCCAAAATTTAGGGTTCCTTTGGTTTTAAATGTACTATCCAGGAGAACCCTAAACACCTTTCATGTACATTAAAGATCTGCTGCTGACTCAAAGTTGATGAACAGATAAAGTTTGGAAAGATCAAAACACACATCTCTTCTATGACAGAAGAAACCGGAGTAGCAAGAAGTAAATGCAAAACTGAAATAAAATGAAATTTGTTTCTTGAAAATAGTTACAAAGTTCTGCCGGAAGGAGCAGAACATTTCCTGTTGAAATGATTCCTCTGTAAAGAATTTTCCTCCTGGTATTTGTTTCCTCTTGCGTTCTCTCCTCTTTCCACATCCTCCTATGTGACTATGGGACCTGATGACATCCAGTTACAGCCTGTATAGAGACAGAGGATGGGATTCCCAACGCTGTGTTGTAAGGACATAAGGTGAAAATAAAGGAAACTGCTTTTATTCTTGAGAGAAGCTGGTTTATCTGGGCATCTCTTTAGCGTGGTGCCTGGGAGTCCAGGAGAGGCCTCTCCAAAGGTAGCAAATGCATAACCATTTCCTTTATAGGTCCACCAGGCCACAGGTTTTACAAGCACAACCAAGACATATGGTTTACACAACTTTTCCCATGCAGAGGCATGTAAAGAGAATAATACAAAGAGGCCAGAGCATTTATCATGATCAGCTGAAATCCCCCCCACCTCTGAAATGCAGCATTGCTACAAGTATCAGCTACCATAACTATTTTTTTAGCAATGTAGAACCTGACATGTAGAATATGAATTAGTCTATTACTTCAAGGAGGACAGCATACAGGTAACATGGAGAAGAAAGACAAGGAAGGCTTTTAAAGGGGAAAAAAAATTAAATTTTACATGGTTCTTTTTTATTCTTCCAAACAACCCCAAGCACAGTGTCACTGTCCAAACAGCAAGACAGACTGTCTTCCCTCCATGGTGCCAAGGACATGGTTAAAAGCAAAATAAAAAGCAGTCTCAAGATGGTTTTTTTTCCTTTTTTTTTTTTAATCACGTGCCAAGTATGACACCAGCCTTGTGCACAGGAAGCATCTGGACACACTGGAAAGAATTTCCTGACTTGCTGCAAATGACAAGCTCAACTAACAGCTACTTTACACCAGCTACAGTAGAGCAAATTGCTCCCATGCTACTTCTCTTAGGAAAAATGGGGGGAAAAATACCTCAGTATTCTACCTAAAAAAACCCCAAACAAAGCCCAAAAAGCTAGTAAAATGGATTCAGAGAATTTTTGGTTTGTTTTGTAAACATGAACTTTCATAATACCAGGATTTAGCCTGAACTGCTCAGCTATGAGAAGAGAAACACAGAAAGCAAAACCGTAAAAGAATGTCGAAGGAGTAAGATAATCTATTTATCTTCCAAAATATAACTCCTGAAAAGGTTATTGAGCAAAAAAAACCAAAAGACCAGGTAAAGGAAGCACAGCATGTTACTAGCTCGAGGTGAAAACCACGCAATTTAATCTTTAATAAGCTTTCCCTACAATGCAAAATCTATTTGTCTAAATTTCTCTTAAATGACACTGGCTTTGAAGAATAAATCCACAGCAAGCAGATGATTAAAAAGGCCTCAATATTCTCAGTGTTCAGGACCTTAACTTCTTTAGGAACACCAACCATATCTGACTATAAAAGATTATTTCCCCTCCCCCCCCTTATGCCCAGATTTTCATTAGTTTTTCACAAAATATTTATATTACCCTCAGTCCTTCCAAGGTAAGTTGAAATAGAAGAAGCAGCAAATAGCAGCTGTTAGAGCAGTTACACAAGGGCCCATCTGAATCCTCTTAAGAGGGGAAAAAAGCAAGAAGGAGATGAGAGGCTCAGTGGGAAACACAAGTAGACAGAGGTGCCTGAAAACAACTGGTAAGATTTAGAAAACAAATATGGATAGTAATGATCCATAAAAAATGTGATCATAACCATTTCAACATACAAAGAAGGAGGGAAGTGCAAAAATTAGCTTTGCAGTGCTGGGTTAAGGGTTGTACTTGATGATCCTAGAGGTCTTTTCCAAACTTAAAGATTCTATGATTCTAAGTAAAGGCTTCCTTTCTTGGGCTGGGAAAGGATTCTGTAAAAATTGAAATATATATTGTGGTTGTTTTTGCTAGGCTTAGGCCCCAGCACACAGAGTAAGTGCTATTCAGTGGGGAATTAGTGAGCCAATAGAGGCCACAGAGTAGAAGACGCTGTGAAATGGTGTATTCATTTGCTAAGTGAGTAGCAGATGATCAGAAATACAATTACTCTCCCTGATGTAACTGTGGATGGTGCCACCATCTATACCTTTATGTAATAGCTTCTGGATTCCTATTAAACTTTGCTCCTTGTGATTTCTGCAGGATGAGTTTCACAGGTTATACATAATGCAAAAAAAAAAGGAAACAAAAATTCCTTTCAGCAGGCTTATTACTCTCTGATCTTCCGCTCTGTTGAGAGACCCCTATTATTGAACAAAAAAGCGAGAGTGAGCACAACAGTCTCATTCATTTCCTCTGACACACAGTATAGGAAACAGAATAAATGTTGACTAAAGTCACCTTCAGAGAATTTTAAACCATTTAATGATGCCATGAAAAGCTCAAATATGCACCCCTGTGATACTCATTCAAGGAAAATTTCCATTCATTCCCTCTTTGTTTCCCCATTTAGCTGTACAAGCCAAGCTGATTTGTGAATAGTTGAAGTTCTGGGCAAGTGCACATTTTCTCCCCCCTCACAGGCTCAAGGAAAGTGCACGTGCACAGGTCATGGTGTTTCAGAAGTCCTCCACAAAAAGTCCCTGCCCTCCTTCAGAGCTGTGCCATGTTCCTGACTCCTGCTACCCAACACTGAAGAGATCTCCCAGAGCAGACAAGACCACAGAGCGGGTTTGTGGTCTGACAGGAAACAACAGCAATTGCAATAGAGATGACGGAGAAACCAGCTCTTCTAGGCCACCCAAGAAAGGCACAAAGAGAACAAACAGGGATGTTCTTCAGGAAATACCACTGTCCTGCAAGAAGTGCTTTGCTTATCACGAATGGCCTCCCATGCCTCTGCATGGGACAAAAACCACACAAGAAAAACCCCTGACACTGAAGTCTGACTTCAAAACTTACTCTGTAAAACTGAAAAAATATTTCAATGTATGTACAATTGTGGTGACTGGAAGAACACTTTCCTTATTGCTCTGTTTTTCACAATTGATCTACATTTCAAATTCTTAAACAGATACTTTTTAACAAATCCCTGCATTCAAAAAAGGCTCCAACCTCTTTATATTACTGAAAAAGACCCTAAAAGATTAAGGTATTTAAAGGGTTTCTTGAACGAACTGAAGGAAAATAATTTTAAGAAATAAAATTTTACTTCAGCTTCTTTTTCACTTTTTTTTTTTTTACTGACACACACTGTTCATATGTTTAAATTTCCTCTCTGCAAACAGGGTGAAGCTGTATTTCCTCCAGATGATCATGACTTTCAAGGTACAGCACAAAACCAAACATACCTGGAATAAAAATGTTAAAAAATCTCCACCCTGTCTTGCAGCTTCATCCCCATTTCCTCCCAAACCCCGTGTCTGCTCCCCAACCTCTGCCCCAATAAGCTTCTGACATATCTCCTCCCAATGTTTCTGTCAACAAGTTCAGCTGCAAAATAATCAAAACAGCTGCTCAAATTTCACTGGCACCACACTGCAGAGACAAGACTGCCACAAACTGCCCAGCACATCTAATCCACCAGCCCTGCTCAGTACGTCTTCTGCCCTCAAAGACTGATATTGTTCCACAGAGCCTTACGGTTCTGATATTTTCCCGTCCTTCATTTTACATTGCACTGTTCACTGGTTCCCTGCGGAGATCGATCCAGTTTCCCCTGAATGCTGTGTGTGTTTCCACTTAGAAGATGCTCTCTGCACCATTCTTTTAAAACGTGTAGGAGATCAGAAAAACAAAACCCATAAGACTGCTCCACTGACCTTCCAGCATGTTGATGATAGTCTGTAGAGAAAACACCTTATCTAAGCAGGACTGGGATTTACCCAGCTGGGGAACAGCTCTGTGGAAAGAGACCTGGGGGTCCTAGTGGACAACAAGCTCAGTATGAGTGAACTGCAGCAAAGAAAGCCAACAGGATGCTGGGCTGCATCAATAAGGGCAACACCAGCAGAGATAATGAAGTCATTTTCCCACTCTAGTCGGTGCTTGTCAGTCCATGCCTGGAATGTCACGTTCAATTTTGGTTCCTACTACACAAAACAGATGTAGACAGGCTGGAGAAGCTTCAGAGAAAAGCCACAAAAATTATCAAATATGGAGACTCTCTTTTCACAAGAAATCACAGGGAAAAGACAAGGGATAATGAGTACCAGGTACTCCTGGGGAGATTTTTGATTAGACATAAAAGGAGAAGTTTTCACAATGAGAACCATCAGCTATCAGAATAATCTCCCCAGAGAAGTGGTGAGTTCCCCAATGTTGGACGCTTTTAACAATTTAAATTAACAATGTGCTGGGCCATCTTGTCCAGCCCATGCTTTTGCCAAGAAATATGTGAACAGATGATCCTTGACATTCCTTCCAACTGGCATTCTATGATTTCATGATTTAAAAGAACAAAAACCATCAAAAAATCCTTCCATCTCTCTATAAATATATATATATTTATTGCAGAATTTACTGCAATATATGTAAAAATTTATAATGTATATACAATAATGCTTATCACTATAAAGTACTATGCAGGACAGAATATTACTTTTCCATATGGGGTACATATTACATTCTGGAAAGAGCAGTTGAACACACCTAAGCCTCTCGTTCAGGGAATCTGAATTTTCATGATCAGGGAATTTTCATAATCCTCAGAGGTTTCAAAGCACACAGTAAATAACACAATTCAAGTTATGATGGTGCCAAATACATGTTTGCCTTCCCACAAATGAGCCAAGCAGTTGTCTTGCACTGGTGAGATTGTCCCATCAAAGGAACAAGTTTTGAAGTTTTAAAGCATCTTCACTCTTGTCTCCAATGTAACCTTCACTTCAAAAACAATTCACATGTTTTTACCAATCAACTGACAAACTGAGCATACACAGATGATTTTTTTGGACTGATACCAAATCTACTATACAGTACATTATTCAGATGAAGCTATAAAAGACTTTCAACATGGTTGTACCAATAAACAGGAGTGTAGACTCCAAATATTTCTCAGACCAAATTAACAGACTTTAAAAGTATTTTGTAATAAAACCTATCTTCTCATTTCCTACTTCACTTAGTAGAAGATACCATGCAGTCTCTGATGTGCATATCAGTATTACATGAGAGTAAACAATGAAATCAAAGTAGGTCTAAAAGCAGCATAAACATAAGACCCATATCAAATAAGTTACAGATAACTTCCAGGTTTGTTGTTAAATGATGATACCTATTCCCCACAATACAGCATGATTAAAACCACATTTCAGTTCTCTTCATCTCTACCTCCAAACTCACTTGTTCCAGTCTATAAATGGCCAGCTCTAACCTTATTTAAGTATTAAGCCTGAAGGAGCTAAATTCCTTATATTACTATCCCTCCTTTACATCTTTTTATTACCACGTAACATATGAATCTGTTTAGTGTTGCGTGCATTACTTATCCTATAAGCAAGTTGCCTGTCTCACGCAGACTCACAAATACTGGGTCCATGCTTTTGCCTGTCCTCTTTTCTGGGATAAAACAGAATCATAGAATAGTTTGGGTTGGAACGGACCATGAAGGTCACCTTGTTCCAAACCTGTTGCCATGAGTAGGTACATGACCTGTTTTTCAGCTGCATGAGAAGACACTTTACTGTTGTGGGGACCTCTGAACTTCTTCTCAGATGCTGGAGTGACTAAGGGCTTATGTAAGATCTCCAGGAATTAGATTATTAATGATGCTCATGATTTTGCATGAACTGGGTCACTAGGGATTAAAAATGTTAGAACAGAATAGGAGAACTAAAACTAAACACCTCTCTTGTCTAGTTTTTCCCCTTTCATTTCTTCTTATTCAGCTAAACATGTTCAGGTTTGCACAGCCTGGACTCCAGCTTCTTATCATGCTCAAATGCTGGGGATAGAAACAGTTAACTAGGAACAACACACTTTCACTGCAGTCTTGTTAATCCTCTCTTCAAACCAGATATCATTCAAAGTTCTTGATTTGGTTATTGACCCATGGGATCTGCAAGTGTTGACAAGTCAACATCTTTTCAGAGATTTTCTATGTCATCCTCAGAATGACTGTTTCACAATATTTTTCCCCATTTCAGCCCCATGACAGAAATCAACCTTCACTTCCGGCAGTTCATAATGCAAAAATGAGTGGGTAAAACTGAATTAGGCCTACAGTTCACAAAGATAATTTTCCCATGTTCACAACACTCAGTGTACTGACATGTCTCAAAGAGTAGTAGGTGCACTCATACCTTTCAGAAAGATTTTTGATTATGCCATCTAGGTAAATGACAGATGTCAAGAATCTTGAGACTAGGAAAAGACAGCTATGTGTAAATTACAGAGACTTGTAATACCAATTTTATTTTAGTATAAACTAATTCATTGCCCAGGCTTTATCAAGAGGCAGTCTTGCCATTCAATCCACAAAAGTAAAGAATAAACAATATTTGTCTAGTGCAAACTTCCCAAACAGTATGTCTTATTTGATAAGGTCTCAATTCCTATATTCTTTTCAGGTGTTATATGATTTCATATTTCTTTAATATATTCACCTGCTCCCTTTAGTGTGCATTACTCTCTTATTCACAATTATAAAATCAAGACCATCAGATTTTTAGCAGATTTACCTCTGTGAAAAATCCCCAAATCAAATGATTTCCTACAAAACTGAAGGAATGTCAAGTACAAGAGAGGACAGACTCTCCTGCACAACCCAGAGCAGAACAGGTACAGTGGGGAACAGAACAACGACAGCTGCTTGTAACTATCTCTTCTCTATGAACGTAATCTAAGTGCTCCCAGTCAGCTTCAAGACACTACAGAGGTCTGACAGTTTGTGCAAAGCCTGTGATACACAGAAGGGAATTTGGTATGGCAGGTATGACGTGAGAGAACGGTGCATCAAGAGCTCAAGAATTTCATTGCACATACATAGCTGAGCATTTGCTTCCAGTTAAATACTTCTTACTTCCTCCAAGAAAAGAGGCGTTTTAAATTTCTTTCTCAATATCATTTTGACATAAGCTGTAACTACCAGTGGTACATGTACCAAATTTCAGAAACTCCTAAGTCTGCCCCTGAGGTACTGGTATAAGCATACCTGAACCACATGAGGTACTGCTGTGTTGTGCATTACAAGTCAGAAGTGTGAGGATTTACCTTACCTCAAGTACAAAAGCAGAATCCCAGGAACTAATCTGATCCCTCTATCAACAAAACCTTTAAAGGAAGATTATCTCTTCCACAAAGACTGGCTGTCCTTCAGTAAGTCTGTTCTCTGCTGGGTGTTTCTACAAAACTGCTGTTGGTAGCTGAATAAGCTATTCCCAGAGGTACTGCTGCACTTCCCAACCAGCCATGAAGAATGAAGCACTCCCATTTCCAAGTCATGTGCACAGCTGAGAAAAAAAACAAAGATGAATTCAAATGTTCATTTCCTTGTCTGATCAGAAATATCTGATGATCTGTGAAATCCAGCAAACTGTCCCCTCCCTACTATTTTCAATTGAATTTCATCCTGCACTTGCAAGATGCTAGGTGGGACTTGAATTGGCAGCATTTCACAACAGCAGAGGAGAGAAAAAAAAGGCTCAACCATACATGAATTTATATGTACACTTACAAAAACTTGTTTTCCTGAGATTTCAATGCAATCCACCAAATTAACAAGGTCAGACAAGCACCTGAAATTTCTTATACTTATCTGATCAAGGTCTCCAAACTCCTGCCACCCATCACTAATTTTGTCATCAAATTGATTCAAATAAAGCAGTGACTTATTTGATCTATTGGTTTTTGGAGGCCTATCAAAGTTATTTCTTGATTGCAAAACAGGTATACATGATAGTTGGTAAACATTTCAGAGTGCTAATTTACTGGTTCATCGCTGTCTGAAAACATGGCACAACAGCTTCTCTCACAAATTTTTGGAGAGCAACTATTATTTATGAACTACTATTGCACTCCTTTGTAAGTGAAAAAGAGATAAGAAATTAGTTCAGCTGACTGCGCTTAAATCTAAATCAAGCACAAGCATTGGAGCCAGTCCATTGTAGCCATACAGAAATGGTTTGGGGCAAATGAATTCACTTCTGACAAATATGTCCCTTTTTGCTTTTACCCATAGATATACCAGAAAAACTTTCAGTTACTCTATTAAATACTGTCAAACACTGTTTCACCTGAACTACTAAATCCCTTTCTAGTGACAGAATTCACTACTCCTCCCAGGTCCTTTCTTTGCTCATTCCATGTAATAATAATGCTTAGTATTATGAAAAGGGGAAAAAAAATAACCTCACATATTCTTTCCAAGTGACTCTCATAAGGTACAGAGAAATGTACACATATGAAGAAAACAACAAAATTAACCTTAGAGGGTTGTCTAGATCTATATTCCCACATTCACACACAGACACTTATAATAAGCAGGCTTTCTTAAGGAAAGATATTGCATCATTTTCCAATTGCAGTGCAATCAATCATTTGAAACATTTGTTTCATCACATGCTTATCTGTCTCAAATGACAAGAACATGCTGCTTATTACTTTCTCCAAGTAATGTATCCCAGCAGTAGGGGAATGAGATATATAGTGCAGAATTATACTTTTCCATCCACGTACAAGTCTTATCACAGTTTCCTGACTTTCCTGATATATTTAAGAACCTATTTTCTAAGTTCACTGCTAAGTGTTTGACAGGAATGAGTGAAGGCTGCTATTTGGACAAATCTGTCATAATTATTTCTAGATGCTAATGCATTCTGCTAAATATTCCTGTAGTACTACCAGTGAAAACACTAATGACCCAGAGTAGGTATCATCACTCATGTTTCACAGTGATGCTATGTGAGTATGCAGGAGAGCAGACACTGCCCTCTTACAAATCTTCCTCCCCCATCCTTTATGGGATTCCTGTACTTATGCATCAGCTGATAAAATCAACTTTTAATCATCTGCATTGGCCTACACAGGCACAGAACAGTACATTTTGAGCCTGTATATTTGGCAACACATCCTAAAATTTAGCAACAGCCAAGGCTTTGATTCATAAACCGTAAGATCACAATTGACCACATAAATCTTTTCAGCTTTTACTCCAATATCTCACCTCATGTTTAATGTGCACATTAAATAATTCAAAGAATACATCTTGCCCACTTCCCTTAGAAAAGCAGACAATGGCCAACAATCAAGACTACTTAAAATATTGTTACTGCCTACTCTATTATTTTCAGCCCTTGCTTTTGGGACTGTCAGTACCTCCATAATCCAGAATTTTATAATTTATGGATAAGTACTCAGTAAATATAAATGAAGAATAGTAAGTATATAGAGATGTTGGGTTTTTTCCCCTCAAACTAAATACTTCAGGTTGGACTGAGTGATTCTGTAATAGAGCAAAAAGAGACTTTTTATGCATAAATGATTTCACTTTTCAGCATGTATTTTACAAGTAGGAAGAATCTCCCTATATAACAGAACAACACAGACTTTTTCCTAAGGAAAACCAGCATATGCACTATTTTTGAGTCATGTAAACAATAACAGAGCAGACAAATGGTTCAATGGGAAGACACTTTCTCTGGTAGAGAACGGACCAGACAGCGTAGTAAGTTAAATCTACTTATCATCTTAAGAATTCTCCAATTATGGGTGCATGTTTGGGCCTTGCCCACAGTGTTTACACAACCCCTCCAACTAACATCCTGAACCACAGCCAATATTCACTAGAAGCATAAACAACTGTGAAAAATATATAGGAAAACTTTGTTAAGTTTGTAGCCCACAACTGACTACAGTGGGAGTTTATGGAACCTTTACAATA